ATCTATATTATAATATAAATTTTTTTACTTATAATCAATTAATATTTAATTATAATAAATAAAAATTTAAAAGTTTAAGTATAATTAACATAAAAAATTTAAATATAAATTTAAATATAAATTATTCAAATATCTATAAAGATAATACAACATAAATAACTAAATTAACAAACTTATTTTTTGTACAACAATAACAACATTCCGATTCTATCTCTAGAGATTATAAGAATACAATTAGTTGTAATAAATAAGATCAATGGACAAGTGATAAAATTAAATATAAATTATTCAAATATAAACAAAAAAACAATCCAATATGAATAATTGAATTGGTTTTGAAATGAATTAATACATTGGGTTGAATAAAACTTAAAACAAAATTAATTTAATATTTTTTTATTTTTTTACAAGAATAAAGATCCTTACAAAGCCCCACGAGATGAAAAAAATTTCCCCGCATAAATTCATAGGGGAAAAACACCCCATGTCCTTGCCTTTTAAGGAGGAATATTTCTCCTTATCTTACCTTGTCCTCGTGGCAGGGATCCCCACCAAGCCTTGTGGTGATTGGAGAAAATTTTTGTTCCTCAAACACTCTCCTCCATCTCCATATCATGTTATTGTTGTGTCTCGATCACAAGATTAAATAAAATAATAATTAGTGAACTTATTAGAAAATATTAATGAGAAAATATCACCAAAATAGGTATAAAAAGCTTACTTACTTTAAGGTGATTGACTAAGTTTTTCCCATCTTTATGGAGAATAGATCAACTGATGTAGTAGAGATATATTTAGTATGTCACCTCTAGGATGCTATATATAATAATGTGCCCTTAAGTAGGGTAATTAATTTACAACGACTAATTTAACCAAGTTATTAATGAAACAATAAATTTAATTTATAAAATATATTTTTTTATTTTTTTATTAAAATATTTAAGTTCTAACAATTGTTACCCTTAATGATAAAGTTTTTGGTTTTTCCAAAATAAAAATCTCCCCCCTATGCCAACTATTGCCTCAAAATGGGAATTGGAGGTTTTGTGCTAATATAATATATCATTTTTGTATTATTAATTTATTCTTTGCATATAGATATTGGTAATAGTTTGTGTTATAAAGTGTTGCTTTGTGTATAGTGAAAGTTTTGGTAATAAAATTTATATATTTAGATTAAAAAAAAAACCAACGTTAATGCTAAGGTTTTGAGTACGGCATTTTGATATTTAAAGCTACACTACAGCACATGTGTAAACAGTAAACAAGGAATAGATCAAGCCCTT